TCTCTCTCTTTCATTTGTTGTTGTTGTTGCTGTTGAACATTATTTCTTCTCAAGAATAATTATTGTTGGGACCCCTGGTGCGCGACCCCCCCGCCGCGCCTAGGCCGCAGCCTCATTTTCAGCATTTTCGTGAGGAAGTCTCAGGCAAAACGATGTGTACCAGATCCGGTTGTGTTGTTACGATCGGTTTTCCCTTGCAAGAAAAAAAACTAAAGTGGACATTTCTTGTTCTAACATAACCAAACTTCAAGAATCCCTTGCAAAAAAAAGGTAAAGTGGACATTCGCGCGCGCAAGACGAAATCCTTCCAAAGCCTTCGTTTTCGTAGCGATTTTAACATAAAGACATCAAAAAAACCAATGGTTTTTCAAAAAAATGTCAAAATTTCATCCCGCGCGCTCTTGCGGATTCGTAGGAAACCCAACACTTTTTAATCATTTCTGTCCAACGGGCTTTTGCGAGCAACTTTTTCGAACTTCTGCAACAACGGTTGCGCACCTGCCAGGGCCATCATCCCTGTCAAATAATACCATGCGGGACACATTCGTTTTTTCTTCGCGCGCGCACGCCGTCGTCGTCGGCCGCGGGGCCCTGAATAGTAGCCACGGTCGTCCGCATGCCACGAAGTGAAGTGTCCGAACGTCATAGGGCGGGAAGCTGGGTGTGGGTGGTGGCGAAGAGTCGTTTGGAAATTTGGTAGAGCTTGAACCGGCCCCCCCACAAAGTGGGGGTATTGCCCGCCTCCTATGAAAACCCTGGCACTGGTGAGAACGGAGTGTCCCCACGTGCTAGTAATTGTTGTTGTTGTTGTTGTTGTTGTTGAACATTATTTATTCTAAAGAATAATTATTGTTGGGGCCCCTGGTGCGCGGCCCCCCCTGCGCCGCCTAGGCCGCAGCTACATTTTCATCATTTTCGTGATGAAGCCTCAGAAAAAGGGTTGGTACGGATCCGGTTGTTTTGTTGATCCGTTTCCCTTGCAAAAAACAATAGAAAATGACATTTCTTGTTCTAATATAATCAAATTTCAAGAATCCCTTGCAAAAAAAAAGGTAAAGTGGACATTCGCGCGCGCAAGACGAAATCCTTCCAAAACCTTAGTTTTCGTAGCGATTTTAACATAAAAACATCAAAAACCAATGGTTTTTCAAAAAAAAAAAAATGTCAAAACTTCATCCCGCGCGCTCTTGCGGATTCGTAGGAAACCCAACACTTTTTAAACATTTCTGTCAAACGGGCTTTTGCGAGCAACTTTTCGAATTTCTGCAACAACGGTTGCGCACCTGCCAGGGCCATCATCCCTGTCAAATAATACCATGCGGGACACATTCGTTTTTTCTTCGCGCGCGCACGCCGTCGTCGTCGGCCGCGGGGCCCTGAATAGTAGCCACGGTCGTCCGCATGCCACGAAGTGAAGTGTCCGAACGTCATAGGGCGGGAAGCTGGGTGTGGGTGGTGGCGAAGATTCGTTTGGAAATTTGGTAGAGCTTGAACCGGCCCCCCCACAAAGTGGGGGTATTGCCCGCCTCCTATGAAAACCCTGGCACTGGTGAGAACGGAGTGTCCCCACGTGCCCTGAATAGTAGCCACGGTCGTCCGCATTCCACGAAGTGAAGTGTCCGAACGTCATAGGGCGGGAAGCTGGGTGTGGGTGGTGGCGAAGAGTCGTTTGGAAATTTGGTAGAGCTTGAACCGGCCCCCCCACAAAATGGGGGTATTGCCCGCCTCCTATGAAAACCCTGGCACTGGTGAGAACGGTGTGTCCCCACGTGCTAGTAATTGTTGTTGTTGTTGTTGTTGTTGTTGTTGTTGAATCATTATTTCATCTTACGAACACAATAAAGGCGCGACCCCTGAGCGACGACCCCGGCGCCGCGCCTAGGCCGCAGCCACCTTTACCATTCATTTTCGTGAGGAAGTCACAGGCAAAAACGATTGGTACCCAACGATCCGGATGTCTGGATTTGAAAATCCCGTTTCCGGCCGGAAAAACTAAATGAAAATTCTTGTTCTTACTTGATCAAATTGCATGAATCCCTTGCAAACAATAAGGTAAAGTGGACATTCGTGCGCGCAAGACGAAATCCTTCCAAAACCTTAGGTTTCGTAGCGATTTTAACATAAAAACATCAAAAACCCAATGGATTTTTAAGAAAAAATTGTCAAAATGTCCTTCCGCGCGCGCTGTCCGAATCCCACAAAACCAATGGTTTTTCAACATTTATGTTACATGAGCTCGCGCGAGCTACTTTTTCTTGTTCTAACATAATCAAATTTCAATAATCCCTTGCAAAAAATAAGGTAAAGTGGACATTCGCGCGCGCAAGACGAAATCCTTCCAGAACCTTAGGTTTCGTAACGATTTCAACATAAAAACAACAAAAACCCAATGGTTTTTCAAAAAAAAATGTCCAAATTTCATCCCGCGCGCGCTGTCCGACTCCCACAAAACCAATGGATTTTCAACATTTATGTTACATGAGCTCGCGCGAGCTACTTTTTCTTGTTCTAACATAATCAAATTTCAATACTCCCTTGCAAAAAAAAGTAAAGTGGACATTCGCGCGCGCAAGACCAACAAAAAACACTACGATCTCAGGAACTTGCCCCAAAAATGTGACCAACTCCGCTCTCTCTGTCTCTCTCTCTGTCTTCTCTCTGTCTCTCTCTCTGTCTGTCTGTGTCATGTATTGTATGTCACAATTGCAGGATGCTGGGCACACGCGCGCCCCGAATAAGTGACCAAGTTCTGTGGGTGTGTACCCCACGCCAGTAAGAGTAGTAGCCACGGTTCGTCCGCACGCCACGAAGTGAAGTGTCCCAACGTCCAAGGGCGGGGAAGCTGGGTTTTGGGAGTTCGCGAAGAGGACGATTGGATATTTGGTAAGCTTGAAAAAAAAACTGCCCCCCCCGAAGGGGGGTATTGTCCTTCGCGTCGCAATGGAAAAACCCAGTGCACTGTGAGAACACTGATATCGGGTAAAATGATTGTTGTTGTTGTTGTTGTTGTTGTTGTTGTTGTTGTTGTTGTTGTTGTTGTTGTTGTTGTTGTTGTTGTTGTTGTTGTTGTTGTTTCTCTCTCTCTCTATCCCCCTCTCTCTGTCTCTCTCTCTCTCTCTAAGTAGGGCGCCGCGTCCACCGATCACCATCGCAGAAATTGCCCCCCCCCCCCAAGACCACGAACCCATCGGAGCACGAACCCCAAGAAGGAGGGCGGCCGCCTCCCGGGGGAGGACAGGCCGTGCACCCCGACGGCCTGCACTTCCGACGAGAACCATGATTTCCATAGCCGCGCCGTCTGCACCTCCAGCCCGCCGCCGACACGGCGGCCGAACCGACGAGACGAAAATGAGGTCGCGAACCGAAGGATTGCAAAACAAATATTGCGAAAAAACCCAGGATTGCAACAAAAAGATTGCAAAAAAACCCTTCGGGTTTTCTTGCACGAGGAATTGCAAAAAAAAACCGAAGGATTGCCAAACATCCCTTCGGGTTTTTTTGCAATCCTTTGCACGAGGGTTTTTTTGCAATCCTTCGGGTTTTCTTGCAATCCTTCGGACCACTTGCTCGTGGACTCGCGGGCGCCCCCAGCGCACCCACAGCACCTCTCGAGCGAGGCTGGAAGTTCAAAGGAAGGCCCTTTGGAGCCAAAATGGCTGCGGACCCCTCCTCCTCCTCCTCCTCCTCCTCCTCCTCCTCCTCCTCTCCAGGGTCTGCGGTTTCGGTTTTGAATATGAAGCCCTCTTAGCTCTCAGAACTATTCGGGAATATGTAGCGTCCAAAAACCGGGTAACAACGCAGTCAAAATCGCACCAAAAGCCTGTAACACGTGTAGAGCCCACTTCAAATCAAAAACCCTGTTGGTGTCACAACTATCCGGGAAACCGGCTTCTAAATTCTACTTGTAGCGTCCAAATCCCGGATAGCAGCGCAATCCAAAGAGCGTGGAAAGCTTGAAGGGCGCTTGCAAGGCCGCTGGAAAGCATGAAGGCCGAGAAAGAGAGCTGCGCAAGAGCTCCCAAGGAGCTCCTCCTCCTCCTCCTCCTCCTCCTCCTCTTGATCCTCCTCCTCCTCCTCCTCTTCCTCCTCCTCCTCCTCCTCCATCTCATGAGGATACTCAGAATCGAAGCTCCAACTTACGGAAGCTGCAGAGATCTACGTACTCCAGATTTCGTAATAAAGGGAGGGGGGTCTCATTTCGGGGGGGGGGTCTCTTCCAGGCTATCTTGGAGGACCTGGGGGGTCTGGGGACGATGTTTTGGAGGGTTCTCCCACGGGGGAGGTCTGAAATGGCTTGTCTTGGAGGGTCCAGACCCCCTCCCTTTTATTACGAAATCTGGAGTACACTGCGCCAGCTCCCAGGCCATAAAATTTAAACCGCTATACCAAGGTGGGCAGGACAGAGGGGGGGTGATGACACGCGCCATCCCCGGACCTTTACAATAACAGTCGAGTGCCACTCCTCGCCACCACTCAAGGAGGGCTACGAGGAAGAGGATGAGGAGAAAGGAGGAGGATGATGATAGCGAGGAGGCGGAGCTGGAGGAGAAGTAAGAGGAGAAGAGAAGCAGGAGGACGAAAAGGACAGTAGGAGAGGAGAAGGTGGAAAGGAGGAGTATAAGGAGAAGGAGGAGTAGAGAAGGAGGAAGGAGGGAGGAGGAAAGAGGGAGGATCAGGAGGGGAAGGAAGAGAAAGGCGGAGGAGGAGAGAGGAGCAGGACTAGAAAGAGGATCAGTAGAAGTAGGAGGACGAGGAAGAGAGGAGAGTAGATGGATGGGAGGAAAGGAGGAAGCATGGAGCAGGAAGGAGCAGGAGGAGAAGGATGAGGAGAGGCTGAGGAGGAGTAGGATGTGAAGCAGGAGGATCAGGAACAGGATGAGGAGGACCGCGAGGAGGAGGAGCGGAGGAGGAGCGGAGGAGCGGGAGGAGGAGCGGGGAGGAGAGGCCCTGAAGATCGAGAACCCTCGATCGCACAGCCCACTGGCGACCCGAGAGGTGGCCTTCTGTCTCGGCCCGCCGGCCGACTCGTGCAGCATCCAGATCGCCCCGACCCTGGCGCCATGGAGATCACGGTCCTCCAGGCGGCGCAACGTTATGTTGCAAGAATGGAGCGCTGCCTGCTCAAGGGGGTCCAATCCTCCTCCTCCTCCTCCTCCTCTTCCTCCTCCTCCTCCTCCTCCTCCTCCTCGTCCTCGGTCTCGTCCTCTTCCTCCTCCTCCTCCTCCTCCTCCTCCTCCTCCTATTCCTCCTCCTCCTCCTCCTCCTCCTCCATTCCCAAATCGCACCCCGAACCCAATGTTTAGGGCGGGCCGGGCGTTACGCCTGAGACTTCCTCACCATTTATGATTTTAACACTTACACGATGGCAACAATTTCTTTCACAATGGAGGTCGGGCCGTTTTCAAAATGTGGCTCTCGCTTGAGCGCGGCGCATATTCGTTTTTAAACATTTGCAACATTTCCACTGATTGAAAGAAACCCGCTTCAACATGTGGCAGGCGCGCACATTCGTTTCAACACGTGCAAGACCTTTACAGATTGAGAGCGGCCCGTTTTCTAAATATGGTTCTCCCCTTCGCGCCACGCTCACTCGTACTAAACAGTTGCAGCACTTTCACGGATGGAGGGCGGCTCGTTTTCAAAATGTGGCTATCGCCGTAGCGCGGCGCACACTCGTATTCAACAGTTGAAAGAGATTCACTGATTGAGGGCGGTTCCTTTTCAAAATGTGGCTCTCGCCTGAGCGCCGTGCGCAGTTTTTTTATATAAGAATTTGAAGAGTTTCAAGGATTCCCATCATCAGCGTACCCGAAATGGTGCTTTAGAAGGATTCAGGATTATGCGGTGCAACAGTTACATTGATTCGCTGTGCTGAAATCCAAAGAACGGCGCACGATTCAGGATCGTCAACACGCAGCCGTCAGGTTAATCCGTGGCGTTGAAATTCCGAAAACAATGTTTTGGCATGCTGCAAGGTTTTCAAACGGTTGACTTCCAACGAAGCAGTTCCCTCAATGAAAACGAAGCGCTGTAGGGGCTTATGATGAGAGAGTTTGGAGGGAGGGTTTATTCCAACATCGTTGATGCCCCTTTGGGTTTACACTTGTCCTCCTCCTCCCCCTGTTCTTTCTTCTTCTCCTCCTCCTTTTTATGGTGGTTGCGCAAGGTGCAGCCATCGCCCCCACGGCGTCCTCCGCACGCGCCGCGCGCCCAAGGGGGCGGGGGGAGGGGGGGGAAGGCGGCGGGCGCTTCCTGGCCAGACCGCTCTGGTAAAGGACGTGCACGGCAACATGTGCTCACTCTACGTTCGGCTCAGACGTGCGCCGCCAAAGTTTGGCGGCGCGCAGAGGGGTCGGGGGGCGGTCGGGGGCGGGGGGAGGGCTTCTCAGAAGGTGGCTGCCTCTAGGAAACCGCGGGCCTTGCCTAACAGACGCGAGGCCGGCACCCTCCGAGAAGCAGGAGAGTGAGGAGGAGAGGAGGAGGACGGGAGGAGGGGAGGATGAGGAGAGGAGGATGAGGAGGAAGGGAGAGAGGAGGAGGGATGGAAGAGGAGGAGAGGATGAGGATGGGAGGAGGAGGATTAGGAGGAGGGGTGAAGCAGGGTAAAAGGAGGAGGAGGAGGAGGAAGGAGGAGGGGGGAGGAGGAGTGGGATGCGAGGCGGAGGAGGAGGAGGAGGAGGAGGAGGAGGAAGAGCAGGAGGAGGAGGAGGAGGAGGAGGAGGGAACCTCCTTCGAGGCAGCCTTCCCCCCTCCCCCCTACCCCCCCTCGGCGCGCTGCCCGCGTCGGGGGGCGCCCGTGGGCGGAGGCATCCACAAAGGGGGGGGGGGGCGGCGCAGACCACGGCCCGAGGCCTCCGAGCGGTTGGCGGAAACCCTGAGCCCAGAATACGTTCTCATGTGGATTTTGTTTGAGTTTCACGCTGTGTCCACCACGTTTAGCGAGGCACCCTACGGCGGGGGGAGGGCGCCAGCAAGTTCCCATTTGGACGCCCGACGTTCTGATTTGGACGCCCAGGCCCTGAGGCCTGCTCCCAGTACGGAAAGACTGTCCCAAACCAACAGCGGCCGCTGTTGGGCAAGCGGCCTTCTGTCTCAAATGGACACAGGCCGCGGCGGCGCGGACAGCGAGTCCTGTTCAAACTGAACAGGAACTGCTGTTGGGCATCGTACCCATTCTTTCCGTACCCATTCCGTTCGTGCCGATATCACCCCTTGGGGGCGAATAAGAGCGCGTTTCTTTATGTTCGGCGATGACGGGCGTCATGGGGGGGGGGGAGGGCGGGGGGGGGGTATGACGTGACGCCCCCCCCCGCCGAGTGGCTCCGGCACCACAGCCGCGCCCGCGCGCACGACGCGACGAGCGACGAGCGACGAGCGACGACGACGACGCGAGCAGCATGTAAGTGGCGATCTGCCCATTGCGCCTGTGTACACCACAACGCCCGCGTGCACCACACCGCGCGTGTGCACCACAGCGCCTGCGTACACCGCAGCAGCCGTGTGCAGTGCACCGCCCGCGTATACCACAATACTTGAGAGCACTACAGCGCCGGTCTACATACACCGCAGCAGCCATATGCAACACAACGCCTGTGGACACCAGTGCTTGCGTGCACCGCAGCGCCTGTGCACG